CCTTCCCGCCCCCGCTCGGCGCGGGACGCACTGGGTCTTCCCGTCTCCCCAGCGCGGCCTCGCAGTACCTGCCCCGCTGTGCTCCGTCCCCGTGGCCTTGCCGACTCCTCTCCGCGCCTCCGCTCTGTGGCCTGGAGGCGGGCGCTGCCGGAGGGCTCCGTCCGGAAAGCCGGGCTCCTCGTTAAGCCTGGACGTGCGCTAGGAGAGATTTGCAGGAACCATCGGAGGCCGTTCTCTCTCAGCTGCAGCTCTGTTTTCCTTTTGCTTTGAACTTTAACTTCATTTGCTCTGAGGTGAGGGAGGTTTTCAAAGCGAGGGAGAGCCTCCTTTTCTTCTTCCGTCGTGAGGCTTTGCAGTGCCTTGGATGTCCAAGCGGTAGTGCTCTTAAAGGATGATTGGGCAGGATCTTTTCAGCCTGAAAGGTGTTTCTCCCGTTGAAGTAAAACTTGTCGGGAGTTGGGAGGGCGAAGGGGTGTGATAGGGCAGGGTGGGAGTTGGAGAAGTAACGTGTGTGCTCTGCTTCCCCTCACCAGGCCAGTACAGTGGTAGCCGTTGGACTGACCATTGCTGCTGCAGGATTTGCAGGTTGGTTTGTGGTTTCGGGACGGAGGTGAAGTAGGGCAGGTTGAGGACTTTTTAATTATTCTATTACTTTTTGTTTTTAGGCCGTTATGTTTTGCAAGCCATGAAGCATATGGAGCCTCAAGTGAAACAAGTTTTTCAAAGTCTACCAAAATCTGTAAGACTTCCTAAACATTTTTGCTAATTCTTCGCTGCCTGTATATGAAAACTAGAATTACATTTAAAGAGGGTAAATTCCCAAACATCTGTGAAGTTCTAAGTGATTACTTTGAGGGTCCCTTCTGCTTTCTACAAGGCGAGTTTAGAAGTTCTGAACTTTGTAGGTGCTACCCTAAAAAGTCAGATTTTGTGCGTAACAGAATTGGGACAGAGGTGTTAACAATCTTAGCATCATGAAAGTTACTATCACTTTATTGTTGACACACTAACTTCAGCATTATCTGTCCACATCCCCCCTCCCCCCTTGCATCAGACACAGGGACCTAGAGCTCTGAAGTGATCCATTTTCACTGTCGGTCCTGGCACGCCCTAACGTACTTAGGAAGCACTGCAGTTTACTAGGCTATAGACCAGCGGTTCTCAACCTGTGGTTGCGTGTGACCCCTTTGGAGGTCGAACGACCCTTTCACAGGGGTCGCCTAAGACCATCGGAAAACACATATATAATTACATACTGTTTCTGTGATTAATCACTATGCTTTAATTATGTTCAATTTGTAACAATGAAATTGGGGGTCACCACAACACGAGGAACTGTATTAAAGGGTCGCGGCATTAGGAAGGTTGAGAACCACTGCTATAGAAGATGCCTGGATGGGGTGTAATGACACCATCTGTGGTCACACATCGGAATGAATATGGCTGTGACAGTTTGCTGAGCATCATGATTGAAAAGAGGGTGATGGTAGGCTTTACAAGTATTTCTTACATAGTAAGGTCAGAAGACCTAATAACCTGATTTTTCTCCATATATATCTTAATCTGAACCACTTGTCTTAAAGATCTCTAAATCCTCTTGAGGGTCTTGTTCTACGACATAGTCATACTATTTTTATGTAGAACATGGCTAACTTGGAATCTTTCCTTCACTCCCAGAAAAACTGGCTTTGTCACATTTTAGTTCTTTTGTCGTACATTTTCAAGACAGTTTAGGTTGTCTAGGGAAAAAAATGGATATTCGATGATCATTAAAATATTTGTTGCTACTTATAAAGTACAAGTTATCGGAAATGTCTTAGTTTTCCTGCCAGTTCTATGGACATTCACAGACATTCTTTTTAGCAACTCAATTTATTCTAATAATCTTTTCTTACTAATGCATTTCCTCTTTCAGGCCTTCAGTGGTGGCTATTACAGAGGTGGGTTTGAACCCAAAATGACAAAACGAGAAGCAGCATTAATACTAGGTGTAAGGTAAAATAACTTCTAATAATTTTTATATTTTCTACAACTCTAGAGCTATTAATAAATGTAAGAAAAACCTTTGTTCAGTAGGAAGGAATTATTTGTATCATGTCTATTTTAACATCTAAACACTCCCTACAAAATTCCAATGAGATGCACATTGGCACATAAGCACTTTTTAATTCATTGAAAGATGAATGTGCAACAAATAACAGTGCTCAGTGTTGTTCTTTGTAAGTTTTTGTGGGGAAATTCTGCCTTCATTCCCACATTCTTAAACATTCTTTCCAACAAAAGGACTGTTGAAATGAGTATTTTCAAGCTCTATTAAATTTTTGAGAATTCTAATTTTTCTAAGGAACTGTTTACTTCCGATTCAAAATATTCATCTTGTGTGATAAGAGGTTCCTAAACAGTTTCACACTGTTGACTTACTCTAGTTTTGCATCTTTAATTGCCCTTTATGTACAATTTTTTTGTGATCCAGAACTAGTCTGAAATACCACCTTTTCCTCTTTAAATTAGCCCTACTGCCAATAAAGGAAAAATAAGAGATGCTCACCGACGAATTATGCTTTTAAATCACCCAGACAAGGGTAAGTAGTCATTAAACTCTTCATATGCATGTTGTAGTGACTTTGTAATTGTTATTAATGGGATAATTTTTATCTAATTCTTATCCTATAATAAGGGAAGTGCCTAAATCTGTGTGTGAGCACTGTCTCCCAGGCTGGATCCATTTGTCTTAAAATGAATTCTGAGTGAGAAATTTATTTACACAATAATAAGTAGATATCTAATAACTACTAGAATTTGGAAGTAGTGATAAGCATTAACAATGTTTTGAGGATCTGCAATTGTAATAAAATGTGATTT